GGGGGGGGGGGGGGGGGGGGGCGCGGAGGCAGTGCGCCGCTTGGGAGCGCGGCGGCGCTCCCGCCGAGGGTTCAGATCCCACATACGGACCGGCCGCTCACTGGCTGAGCGAGGTGCGGGCGCGACACCGAGGGTTGCGATCCTGTTGCCGGTCCCGGTCCGGTACGGGCACGACACTGAGGGTTGCGATCCGTTGCCGGTCACGAAAAAAAAGACAAAAAGGAAAAAAAAAAAATTACAATTTGAAATATATTGCTGTAACAGAATGAAAGAACCTGTGCTAAGGTATTGAGAGAACAGAAGGGGAAGGATAGATTATGCACAACCTCATTTCCTCATCTCAAATATTATGCAATAACAACTTGAAAATAATACAACAGTTTACTCATAGTTGGTGCATTTCAGAAATCAAAAAAAAATTTTTGAAGAACAATGCAAGTAAAAGGATAATTTAATTGCAAAGAACTGCTAACACATTTCATAAGCCCCAACGAAAAAGCTTTTAAAGAATTTTTTTTGCCTCTGACCTAAAAGTGAAGGAAAGCACACATTAGTCAGCTACAATAAAGTAAAATAACAAAAAAACACTTAACTCAAATTGCACCTATCAAGACAGGAGAAAATAATTCTTCTGCCTCACCATTCCTACCTCAATTGTAAACTGATGACACTTTATTTAACACTTTCAAAACCCAGTTAAAGCAAACCAATGACTCCTCACCCTATCAACTCTAAGGAAATTAATGTTATACACTTCAAGTCACCCAGACACGATTACGATTAGATCATTAGTGCTTTACACTAACGCACAGCTGAAAATGTACATGGAGCAAAAAACAAAGAATACTAATCCCAAACAAACATTTTGCTGGTAGTGCATTAGGAAGTTACAAGCTCCACTGCATTAAAAAAATTATTTGCTACAGCAGTGTAGCAAACATTTAAGATTCTCCTTCAAATAACAGGAAGAAAACATGTGACACATTCAAGAGCAAAGACAAACCAAAAAGTATCTTTTTGCTCAGGAAAAGAATTTCCTCATTCAATTAGAGCGTAACTTATTAAAAGGGGAAGTCATGAGTCTCTTCTGAGGATTTTTGAACAGTTTATAAATACAAAAAGAACATTTTTTTTCAATAAATAAATGGTTCCTAAAGTCTTTATGATGACCTCCAGAACCCTCCATCACTGCTGTCCAGACCAGCTCCACTTCTCTGAGAGGCTTTAGCTCAGTGGAATGGGATATTTTCTGTTGTTAGGTGACTCTTCTTATATCATGCAGACTTTCATCAATATGTCTCTTCATAGTCTGAATCCTGGAGGGAAAGCACAGTAGGAGTGGTGTATATGTGAAGTACAATGCTGCAGTCAGAACTTAGGCAAAGACCACACATCAGGATTCTCCAAATGGAACTTGCTTGGGGCAAAAACAGTGAAATACCACTGACCTTACACACTTAAATCCCCATGCAGCATCACAGGACCTCAATATAATCAGAGTATACTGGGCTAATTTCTGTTTTTGAAGCTCTAATGGTTTCCTTTACCTTGGTGAATCTTTTTTAAAACTTCAACACACAAGGGCTGGCCCATGGCTCACTTGGGAGAGTGTGGTGCTGATAACACCAAGGCCATGGGTTCAGATCCCATATAGGGATGGCTGTGTAGCTCACTGGGTGAGCGTGGTGCTGACAACATCAAGTCAAGGGTTAAGATCCCCTTACCAGTCATCTTTAAAAAAAAAAAAAAAAAGCCTCAACACACAAGACAGGGTGTCATTCTACAGTAGAATATTCAGGTTGTGGCTAGGAGTTTAGGCTAGGCATCAGTGTACCTCTGAGTTCTACCTCTTGGGGGCTGCGTGTCCTTGAATAAAGTTATGTAACTTCTCTAAGCCTCAGATTCCTCATCTGTAAAATGGGGATAATAAAAATACACCTCATACAACTGTTATGAGAATTGAATAAGACAATATACATAGATTACTTGGCAGTGTGCCTGGCACTTTATAAGCATTCATTGAAGATTAGCTTCTATTACCATTACTCTTGTTTTAATTATTCAAACTCACGTTCATTGCTTCTAACTTCCACTGGGCCATTAGTGCTATTTGGCATACCACATTTCTCTAGTCCATTCATTTTCCTATTCTCTTTGATGACTATTTCGTACCTTTCCCTCTTTCCCCAAACCTCCAACACCTCCTCTTCCCCTCATTCTCAGCTGATGGCATTGCTTTCTCCCATCATTGGGAATAGAAAAGCAGTCAGTAGGGAATTACCACAAGCTCTATCATCTTACCCACTCACCTACATCTGGGCCCATGTACTTGGCATTCCCTACTGTTTTTTTTTTTGTTTGTTTTTTTGTTTGTTTGTTTGTTTGTTTGTTTTTTAAAAAGATGACCGGTAAGGGGATCTTAACCCTTCACTTGGTGTTGTCAGCACCACGCTCAGCCAGTGAGCGAACCGGCCATCCCTATATGGGATCCGAACCCGGGGCCTTGGAGTTATCAGCACCGCACTCTCCCGAGTGAGCCACGGGCTGGCCCTACCCTACTGTTCTTATGCACTCTCCCTGCCTTTACCTAAGGGCAACATCTCCACTTGCATACTAGATCCTGGCATCAGCCCAGCAATCCTCCCCTCTCTCTCTCCTGCACCATCAATTTTTCCTTCTCTACTGGACCATTCCCATCAGCATACAAATGTGCTCAATTTCTCCCATCTTAAAAAGAAAAGCAACTCTTNCACCTCCTCTTCCCCTCATTCTCAGCTGATGGCATTGCTTTCTCCCATCATTGGGAATAGAGAAGCAGTCAGTAGGGAATTACCACAAGCTCTATCATCTTACCCACTCACCTACATCTGGGCCCATGTACTTGGCATTCCCTCCTGTTTTTTTTTGTTTGTTTTTTTGTTTGTTTGTTTGTTTTTTAAAAAGATGACCGGTAAGGGGATCTTAACCCTTGACTTGGTGTTGTCAGCACCACGCTCAGCCAGTGAGCGAACCGGCCATCCCTATATGGGATCCGAACCCGGGGCCTTGGAGTTATCAGCACCACACTCTCCCGAGTGAGCCACGGGCTGGCCCTACCCTACTGTTCTTATGCACTCTCCCTGCCTTTACCTAAGGGCAACATCTCTACTTGCATACTAGATCCTGGCATCAGCCCAGCAATCCTCCCCTCTCTCTCTCCTGCACCATCAATTTTTCCTTCTCTACTGGATCATTCCCATCAGCATACAAATGTGCTCAATTTCTCCCATCTTAAAAAGAAAAGCAACTCTTGGCACACACCTCCTTCTACCTATTGCCCTGTTTCTCTGCATCCCTCCACAGTAAAACTCCTTGGAAGAGTTGTTTATACCCACTGTCTCCATTGTATGTCCTTGCAATCTTGTAACCCTACACCCAGTCAGGCTTCCATCCTCACTATTGCACTGAAGCTCCTGTTGTCAAGATCACCAATGACCTCCACATTGCCAAAGCATCCAATAATCAATTCTCAGCTCTCATTCTACTTCACCTGACTCAGAAGCAACTGATACAGTTAGTCTCTTTTCCTTGAAGCACTTTCTTCACTTGGCTCCCATGACACCAGACTCTCCTGGATTTTCTCCTACTGCACTGGCCATTCCTTCTCTGCCTCCTTTGTTAATTCCTCTTCAACTCCCCATCCTAGAAACCTTGGAGAGCTCCAGACTCAGTCCTTTGACCTCTTTAACTATACTCAGTTCCTTGGTGGAAATTTCTCTATCAATATCTGTTAATGGCTTATGAATTTATATCTGTAGTTTAGACCTCTCTTCTGAACTCTATACCCACAATTGTCTATTCTATATCTCCACATGGAAGTTTAATAAGTATTTCAAACTTAATGTCCAAACCCAACTCCTGATCTTCCTCCTAAAACTTGTTCCACATAAAAATTGACAACTCTATCAGCTGTTCAAGTCAAGAATCTTGGAATTATCCTTCACCCATCTCATTTTTTTGCATATGTATGCAACATCAGTAAATCCTCCTGGCTTCACCTTCAAACTATAACCAGAATACAACCACTTCTTACCACTTCTATCAACACTACACTGGTTCAAACTACCACCATCTTCTCTGACCTAGATTAATGCTAATGCCTCCTAATTGGGCTCTCGGGTTCTGTCATGGTCCCTTACCACCTTTCTCAACCCAAAAGCCAGAGTGATACTTTTAAAACATATATCGGTTCATAGTGCTTCTCTTCTCAAACCCTCCAATAGATTTAATTCATTAAGAGTAAATGTCCATGTCATTACAATCATCTGTAAGGTTCTCTAAGATCTAGCTGCCACATGGCTCTCTCTGACCTTAACAAATACTATTCTTTGCCTTGCTCTCTTGATACCTGCCACAGTGCCTCCTTGCTATTTCTAGAACATGCCAATCATGGCCCCTTCTCGGAGCTTTTGCACCTGCCATTTCCTCTGTCTGAAATATCTCTCCTTGTTATCTACCTCTTGTAGGTGTTTGCTCAAATATCATCTCACTGAGGGCATCCCTTGCCATCTTATTTAATATCATATCCCCTACCCAGCCATCCCATCTACTTCTCTGTTTTATTTTTCCCCATAGCATTCAGCACCATCTGATATATTACATATTTTACTTATTTTTAAAAGTTTAGTTAGTGTTTACACCCCAATTTAAGAGAAGGTAACATTTCATCTGGGACTTGGAAGATAAGAAAGTTTTCCAGATGAAGAACATTAAGTTCTTTGAGGGTAGGAAATTTTGTCAGTTTTGTTTACTGCTGTTTCCTAAGTGCCTCGAATAGTGCATGTGGCACATGTCAGATGCTCAATACTAACTGATGAATAAACTAATGTCAAAAATGTGGATAATAACCATATAAACATTAACCCATTTTGTGTTATCAAAATATTGAACCCCCAAAGGGTTGGTATTAGGTCCTTTCCACAGGCACTATTGGCCTTTCTCTCATCTTACCTATGATACTGAAGTGCACAAGTGAAATAGAAGCAAAGAATACCGCAGTGAATAACTCAGCTATGGTCATCTGTCCAAGTGCTGAGCACGGTAATAAGTATAAAAAGGGCTCAAGTTTAAACCATGCAATGACAGGTATGTTCCATATTAGGTCATAAGTTGCTTTTGACCTGTTTCCCACTGTACCACAGAGAGTTTCCTCATCCTCCTAGGATCTTAGACATCCTTTCAGGCCTATTAGTCACAGTAGGATTTCAAACGGGGAGGGATGACAGCCTTTTGAAATTTAAATTAAAACTTCTAGTGTGGTATCTCTTACTGATAAAAGACATTAAGTTACCTAACTAGGTTATATCACTCTAACTCTCTGGAAAATACCGAGGCTCAAAAGAAAAGTTAAATTTGGGGTTCTGGGTCGAGCCAGTGGAAGTCTCCTAGAATGTATTCAATGGCATAGGGTACTCCTCTTTTAGGAGTTTCTGTCAGTCAGCAGAGACTGCGCTACACAGCCCCTTCCCTAACCTAAGAACACCACTCTATGTCCTTGAGACAGAAAACAAAATCATGGTTAGAACTGGTAGGGGCCACCTAAAACCAAAATGCTTTGGGGGAAGACACTGGTTCATACCTTGCTTGGACCTACCTGCATACCTTCTGCTGCCCCTGAGGGCAAAGGATCCCCTTAAGAAAGCAGGAAAGTGAGACAACAGCAAAGAAAGAAATGGCATGGACTTACCAGGCACTCAGCACAACGGACACAAAGCCGCGTCATGCACTCATCTTCCGCCTCCTGGTCAGTGCTGTAGAAAGAGGACAAACCAAATCTGGGTAATCACCATCCTTAGTACAGCAGAGCACAGGTATTGAAATCAGACAGGCCTGGTTTTAGATTCTGGTTCCACCACCTACTAACTGGGTCACTGGACAATTGCTTAAGCTCTGGGAGCCTGTTTCTTCATCTACAAAATGTAGATATTATCATCTACCCTTAATAGTTGTTAGGTATAAATAAAAAATAAATACATATGAAACACATATCCATAGTTCCCAGCATATAGTAAGTGTTCAGTAAATGGGAGCCAGTCATAATCATTCATTTAGGGGGACTTCTGTTCAAGATGGTGGAATAGACAGTCCCCAGTGTCTCTCCCACAAATCAACCAATTTACAACTATAAAAAAGCAATGACAGCCAAGCTGGGGCCACTAGAGCTCAGGGGAAGAGGTGGAGAGACCTATGGAGTTCATGAAGGTGGAAGAAGCCAGATGAGAGAAAGAAAAAACTGCTCTGACCATTTCAAGCCCCGGCCATGTCTAGGCTGGAGCTGCTGAGTGCACAGAGCAGGAGCTGGCAAAAGCCACAGCTGTGCCCTTCGAATGAAGTTGCTTGGAGGCAGCAGGGGAGAAGAGGGCTTTGGCGGCCCTCAAGCCAGCAAGACCACTAATAGGGTTCCTGTGGACCCACATAGGAATGAGGAGCCACAACAACTGAAAAAAAGGAGCCACTCAGAGGCCAGTGAGTCATTGCAAGGGACCGGCACATGGCCCATCCCATGGGAAGTGTTTGCAGCACGGGTGGTAGGGGAGATGGGCCCACCGGTAGAACACTGGGGGTACAGCAAGGACAGCTGATCTGCACCCCAATCAGCAAAGGACCAAAGGATCAGAGAAGACTGGTCAGGAATATAAAATTGCATGGGGTGCAGTTTGATGAAAAGACTCAGGTCCAGACCAGAGTTTCTACACGACCCAGGTGCACTGGATCTCTCGAGAGCTGGAAGTCCCTATAAAGTCAACCATTAAAACCTAAGCTGTAGGGCCGGCCCAGTGGCGCACTGGAGAGTGTGCCGCTTGGGAGCGCAGCGGCGCTCCCGCCGAGGGTTCGGATCCCATGTGGAGACCGGTTCCCACTCACTGGCTGAGCGTGGTGCGGG